TTACCTTTATTCTCTCTTGTCCGTCTAGTGATTCTCAACACCATTCGAAAGGAAGAATATTTCATCATATTTTCCGTCACTTTTCAATTTCTTCGCTGTGTAATTGGGGCGGCGTTAAAGCGTGGATAAAATGACACGTAATCCCCTAACGAGGATGAAACGGTAAACACGCGTTTAATTTTGAAAATTTTATGAAAAATATCAAGTTCGTTCCGGGACGGTGTACGTTTGCGAAGATTCACGGGAATTTCTCAACGTTATTATTCCACGGGGATGGTTAATTTTATCGCGTGGCTGTTGAAAAGAGACGGTGTATAGATGCGACCAAATTTCTTGAGACCGGGAGGCGAGAGGTAAACAAAGCAGCAAAGTCAACAGGATTTTTAACAGGCAATTTAGAGTTCGCTCGGGGACCATTATCCAAGAGGGGGATCTTTATGCGCGTCGCGCTTCGTTACAAACACTCTTCAACATCGTTGGAGATGCTCGAAAGCGTGGTAATCATAAACTTTATCTCGACGGCTGGCATCAAGTAGCTGAGTTCCGTTTTACCAAGCGCCCGCTTTTCCTCCACCCTCGTACCTCTCTGCCGCTAGCTCGTTCGAAAGCCGACCAATAAAAAGAACGCAAAGACCGGCGAACATTTGCATACGCTCGCAAACTATCCCGCATTTTTTTCTCTTCGATAAATATATATTCCCCGGGTGCGGAGATTAGCCTCGGATCAGCAGCCGGCCACCGGAATCAAATGCAGATTTACGCAAAATAGGATTCTACCCTCTTTATTCCCTCTCAGCCAATCGACTTTTCATCCTTTTTATTCCAATCAGATATTTATTTATAACTTTCATATTCAGTTGGGTAAGAAACTAGTCGCGTCTACGAAATGATACTCTACGAATCAGCAAGTAGAAGATGTTCGCGTTTGATCAGACGCGGTCTCTACGGAATTTCTTAGCGTTCGAAACTTTTCTCTCGAAGCTTCGTCACTCGTAAAAGCAAGGAGAGTGACATCCGGTGTAGGTAGACGAGGTATCGTTTTAAATATTTCCCCGTACCAGCCATCGTTCGATGCTCGAAGGCATATTATACCCGAGCCGTGAACGAGAAGACTTCACCGATCCGTTCGCGTATTTCCATTTTCTTGTTTATCGGATCGCGAACGTTTGTGCACCGATGTCCCGTTTGTTTGCGCATAAATATTGATGTCACGAGCCCTCGGACCGGTTCGTTTCGAACTTGAACGAAGTTTCACCTTGGATGAAAGGAGACAGTTAAGAGCGATTGAAGTGTACTTTGTCAACAGTGCCGTTTTGCGATAATTAACGTGGAGGGTAGGTTAAGGCACTCGAAGAACCTGCTGCTCGTTCGTTCAGGGGGTGCTTAAGTGATTGAAGGTAATAAGAAATGGATTCATTCCTTGCGAAAACTTTAATGTTTCGACGTAATAAGGAATGAAATTTTTTATTGCCACAACTTAGGGAAGACGAATAAGTTTGAAAGTAATAAGAAATTAATTTCTTCCCCTTGAAAACTTGCCCATCGCGGATATTACATTGAGAAATGATCTTTCAAGATTTGAAATTTGCCCAGGTGAATGTTATACTTTGCTGATCGAATCGATAGGTGATGGATCAGAGTAGGCCGACAAAAGAATAATCGATAAGCCACGAAATTAATTAGTACTAGAACGACGAGTCGACGTTGACTCATTATTATTCATTCGAATGTAAATGAATTCGCGCGAATTAGAACATAAAATAATCCTTCTAGCTGCTCGTCTCACAAAGCTTTGTGTATCTCGACGCCACAAACACTTTGTCATCGCAAAACTCTGTCTTTGTACCGTCGTAATCGTCGCTTTGACTTCACTTTATCACTGTTAACAAGCTTTTCAACGATAGGAAACCGTCGAATCCGCTTTCCATTAAACACTTTGACTGTCACGTTCAATACTTTTACACGACGCGTGAATTTTCATAGCAACTTGGTGTTCATTTCTGAAAAAGAAAAAAAGATAGTAATTCCATATTTTAAACTTATTCCTTTTGAAAAGTACAAAATAAAGAACGCCAGCTTTACTCTCTCAGCAGCAGTTACATTCCTGTATAAAAGTTCTCTGAGAAGATTTTACAGCAAGGATCAGGGGGATTAAAATTCATGAGAGTTGGTGTCTTTGTGGGGTACCGGTTCGCCTGTTCTCCTCGCAATTATAACATTTACCCGTTGATTTACGAGTAAGGGAGTGGTAAAGAACGCTTCGCGGGAAGCACCCTCGATAAGGGTGCACCCTCTTACGCGACGGTGCACTTTTGTCAGCCTGTTACCTACCGCGGCGTACTTACGGATGACAAATTAGCGAGATAACTACTGCGCGCCGGATAATAAACGCCCAGGAACACGGTTGTACGTAACGGCGACGCACGAACGTGATAATTTCGGAATAATTGCCAGCCGCAACCGTCGGCATTGATCAAACTTCAAGCTGAAACGTGCGATTCGTCTTTCCGTGGATACGCGAATCGTGACCGGCCGATTCTGTCGCTTGATTAATTGTTAATATTAATCCATTGCCGGACAGGATATCGGCTCGGTTTCCGCCAGTCGTTCGTCATATCGACACCGTCCACTTTGTCCGGATTAATTTTCAACCGAGCCGAGATGGCCGAGGGGAAAGATTAATCGGCGACTTGTGGCGCTCGTAATCAATGTTAAATTGAAGAAAAACATTTCAGCAACGATTGATCCATTACTTTGTCAAATTCAAAGTTGCAATTATATGAAAGTTCTAACGGTACATTAAGAACGTCATTAATAAATTGAATATTAAGAAAAGAAAACGTTTTTCAAAGAAATTCGACGGGACAAATCTTCGTTTTCTCGTCGAGTTTTTCTTTCTCGTTGAGGAGCTACGGGTTGGCTGTCGCGTGTTAGGCGAGCTTTCACGCAAACTTGTTTATTACTTAATTCGATTGACGCGTAATTTTGAGCTGTATCGGGGAGGGGGGGGGGGGGGGGGGCTTTCAAGTTAATTGAATGCCCGTGGAAAATTAATGTCGCGAGGCAACATCGAGACTCCTTTCAGAGCTTTCTCACCCTTCGACCCTTTTTGCCGTCTACTCGTGCCAACCGTTTCCTATCGGCTTGAAATTTCTTGTCGTCGCCAAAGAAACGCGTCTCCGAAGCAGACGGCTAGAAAACAGATTGTATTATCAAAGTTTCTTCGCTGCGGTCAAAACTATCGCGCGAATGCTCCCGATTCTTGTCGGAAAATATCCCTGATACCTTTTAACGTTTCTTCCGTTCGAGGAAAGCGTGGAAAACTCTGATCACGTACCGTTCAACCTTCGAACACGAAGCGGATCGGCCGCGTACAGAGTCGAGGAGAGTTTTACGCGCGTAACAGCTCGGACACGTTCGATTTTACGAGGAGAGTTCGTGTTTCGCGGACAGTAATTGAAAATTACGACGAGGCCCCACGCGTCTACGACCTCCTGGAAACATCGTCACGAGATTTTTCTTTTCTGATTTTACGCCCGCGTCGGATGAAAAAAACTCCATTCATTTTCTTTTTTATTCTTTCACAATTACCCTCGTACGTCCGGTTTTTAAAATGGAATAGATGTTACAATTGTAAGGTAATTAACGACGGACAGCCGGTGTAAGAAAAGTTGAAAGAGAATATGAAATCAAAAGGAAAGGATGATCGAATCGTAACGTCGATTAATTATACTAGTGTCTTCATTAAAAATTCTGTAGGATGATGTAAAATCTTTTTAACGCGACGTTCATTTCCCACCTTCCATTTCTCCAGTCTTTTCCCCCATTGTTTTTCTGACGCGTTCCGGTCTGTCGCTCTTGCAAAAAGTAAAAAGGAAAAAAGAAAAATCCATTTTTGTCCCGTCTCTAATTACTCGGGAGTATTCATTAAAAATTCGATAAAAAAAAAAAATCCCAGGCGACGAGGCATTCGCTTCAAGTGCCACTTTTCCATCGATTCGTCGGTTTTCGCGAGCTTTCCAAAGCGCTTCCTTCGCGAGCTTCAACTAATTACAAACGTTGAATATCGTTGAAAGCGGACACTCTGGCAAAGCCTTCGAATTGAATTAAAAACTACTGTCAATCTAATTTTCTCAGATACTTTGAATTCGAGAGACGGTGACAAGGTTTTTATTTTCATGGCAGATGGTAGCAAAATAAAAAATAAAAAAAGGAAACGGAACGTATGATTTCCATTTTAATGGTTTCTCGCGACGCGTGTATGTCTGCGTTGTCGCTGGTGGCAGCACACGAATACATCATCTTTAAACAGTAACAGCAGCTACGAAATCTTTGCCAACGGTTGAATCATCAGAGAAAAGAGCTCTCTCGCTATAATCGTTTCTTCGTGGATAGTAAATCCGGCAGACAGGCCGTCTGAAATTATTACAGCTCGCAGGGCCGTGCCAACCACGTTCGTGGAACCATGTGGGAAATTTACAAACTGACAATCGTGTTAATACGTTCGAGACACGTGCTCGAAGCTTACGTTATTAACGCGTTCCAACGATCTTGACATTTTCTTTTCTTTTCTTGGTCTTTCAATTCTCTGGATCATCTGCGAACGGTTTAACACTGTGCTAGCTTTTTTACCGGAGCATCTTGAAGCGAGAACTTTTCTTTCGTGGACATTGAAAGTAGAGGTTGACGATTGATTTAACAAATAGATATTTTGCGGACGATTTAATTTAACTGGAACTCCGGTAAGGAACAGTAACGATATCGCGAAATTGGGTATAATGACGGCGATTATGTTGTTTCGATCGATCGACCAGAGGCACGCGACACTGGGCCAGGAACGGATGTCACGCGAGATATTATTCTTGGCAACGATATTAGGTGACTGTTGAATCAGGAAAGAGAATAACGATACGAAAATTAGCCAGTCGTGCCAAATATCAGACAACATTGTTAAATTTATGTCTGAACATCCTGTGATTCCGTGAAGATAAATTACTCACCGTTTGTGCTGAATCCTGAGACCTCTGCGGGGGTGCAACGGTATGCCGTCTTTCAGCCAGTGCACCCTCGGGGGCGGAGAACCCCTCGTTCGGCATACTAGCTTCACTCTCTCCCTTAACCTCGCTATCGAGTCCCTGAGTTCGGACAACGTAACCTCCCTCACTGAAATCAAAATAACATCGCACTCGTTAAAATCGTCGCGCGACTGTAAAAAGAGTGGATAACGAAACGTGAAAAGCGATTAAATAAAGAAGAGAAAAAAAGAAATTCTAACGCATAATGAATTTCGCAACGGCTAAATCCGTGGCGTTGAAAGAGAATTCTTAAAACGGCCACTTTCCAACTCGCCGTCCAACTACGTGTCTCGAAGTTCCGGCAAAAACTTCCGGCGAAGTCCAACTCTCGGAGTTTTAATAAACTTTTCGAGAGCCAGTAGTTCTCACCGTCGAAAGAAACTCCGCGAAGCAATACGCGTCTTAAATCGCGCGATCTTCGATGGCGGAAAGAAATTTGCAGCGGGGAAAAAAAGCAATCTCTTTTCTTTCTTCTTTTTTTTTTTTTCTCACCCTCTTCGATCCTTTTTGTAAGCTTCTTAAGCAATCTTGCGCCCTCCGATCCGTGGACAAAGTTCGAGGACAATCGTATCAAAAGCTATTTTTCAGTAATTACATTTATTATTCCAACGTTTCGGGGCATCGAGTTGCCCAGTTATTTTCTAGTTTATTCGTTTTAGCTTCGCTACGATCGGTTGAAATGAAAAATACCTGAAACGGGATACTTTGCTTTGAAGAGTCGCATAGGATGCTTTTTCTCTTAAGAACACGACACCTCGAACTATTGATTTTATCGAAGTGTTGTATTTCGATTGCGAAAAGAACGGAATAAACGCGATAGATTATCGAGTAACAACTTTGAAAGCCGATCGACCCGAAGCACACCATTCAACGCTTTTAAACGTTTTAGAATCGCCTTGTTTTAATAGTTCGAACGCAATCTGTTCAAACATTTATCAGCAAGGTGGTGTGTATTTGTATAAGGGAAGTTTAATATTGTAAGATTTTCCAAGGATCTTTCTGTTCGACGAGCAATTACTTTGACTAACGAGTTGTCGCGTGTATTCACAGGATACCCTGTATACGGTGGCATCACAATAGCAAGCAGCTGTCGCGATCATAAATTGGGCACACGTTGAAGAAAAATGGGTCATCGGAGATTCTAATTTTAGAGCAGCAGAAAGCTGCTTTCGCGAGGTCGTTGATTGTATCGCGAGTAATGTAAAGGGTACAGGCTTTGCTTTACTCGTCCCTTTGTCATCGTTTCTTTACGCTCTTTTGTTAACGCCGAAGATATTGTCCTTAATAAGCCACCTACTTTCATGAATTTTCTATGCAACGACCTTGACGGCACTCGTTGAAATTACGACGATCAGTTGAGCAGTTAATTAACCTGCAAAAATTCGGATGCACTTTGAAAGAAACATTGTTCTTTTCTTCATTTCTCTTTCAACTAGAAATGACGTTTGCGTATGAAATTTTGCAAACTAATCCGAACACGTGTAAACAGAGTTATTAATTTAGTTTATTTCGGGTAAATTTGCAGGGACAAATCATTTCGTGGAAATTTCATACGCGTGTAAATCCAGCTTAACGTTTCTTGTAAACAGTACAAACATTTGGACAGCCGATTTGGTTTACCGGCTGATTTCAAAACGATTTCACGGATCTCATTTGAAAGGGAACAGAAGCGTGATAGAAGCACGTTTAATCCCAATTCATCGTTCCCCAACGCGTGCACAGTTGTAAAAGCGAGGCTCGCCGCGTTCCTTTTGCATCGTCTCGCAATTTTTCAGCAACGTTCCCGTCTTCTTCGTCGAGCCGTGTTTTGACTAGCGTGCTCGCCGTAATTACGCCAGCTTACTCTGCCCCTCGCCAGCCAAAACGCGACGCTCGAATTATCCTCGACGTTCCGCGTCGCGACGAGAACGCCTCCGGGCATTTAATACGTTTCCATCAATGTCGTCGTCCTCGTCGTTGTCAGACGGCGGCGTTATTCGAAACTGTCCGTGTCCGCTTCGTATTCGTAACGCTTCTGATACCTTCTCCTTCCTTCTTGTATCTTACTAAAAAAGTCTGGAGATTCGATGGTTAACGTTACACGGTGACTACGGATCCAACGAGACTGGACGTGATGACTGGGACGTGGGGAAAACGGCAACACGATGAAAAAACATCGAAATATTTTCAATCATCAATTTTAGCGCAATAATAATCTCGATTGTATTCAAACACAAAAGAGAACTTTAAAATTATCAACACCAGGATGAAATTTCAACTACAAAAAGTTAAGCTATTATTTATTGAATAAATAAAACGCTGAATTTCAGTTAACAAAGCATTTTCGAGAGGTAAAAACTTCTACAATAAAAGCATATTTTCAAATGAAATAATAAAACATGGGATATTCAACGTTAGTTCGAAAATATCAGTAGCAAGTAGTACGAGTCAACGCATCGAGATCTGACACGTATCATAACTTGGTAAATAACAATTCAAGTCTCAAATTTCACCATGCATCGTTTCTATTGGTAAAACGTGTTTGTTGAAAGTATTTGCAGAAATCAGTTTCCCGAGTTAATATGGATATCGAGGTTTTGATAGGAGCGCAGTAGAACGGGTCAACGCATGGGGAAACGTCTATGCTACTTTCAAGCATTCTTCCATTCACAGTTACTGGGGCGGGATAAATTTATTTTTCAGACTTTGACCTCGTATCTTAAGATTTTGTTAGCCATTATTGTGCTTCCGAAAAGGCTTTCAATTAATTTTTTTAGCACAGAATGCACTAGTTTTGCGGAATTTTTTTGCCATTCTTCTTCTGAAGCATTTTTAAGGCTTTCTTTGTTGATTGCGCTGTGTTTTCTTCCATTTTCTTCCGAATATGCTCTATTTAAATTTAAATCCAGAAACTGGGAGGGAAAGAAAGGCTATTTAGGAGTACTATACGAAGTGGACCATGCAAAATAAGCCATCTACTTATCTTGCCTAGCAATAGCGGTAAGAAAGAAATTTTCATATGTAATTTAAATGGTATTAATGGTCGATTTCTGTATTGCACCAACCTTCTTTCTCGTCAGGTGGTGATTGTTCGAAGAAATAAAATTGTCTTGAAATTTCTAGTCGGATTAAATGACGAGTATATTAATTCGGGGCTATAGTTAAAGTGCTTTTACGCGTCCCGTTGAAAGCGGTCGAGAGTCCGGCCATTGGCTGAAAATTCACTTGGAGCCAAGAGTATTCCGCGTCTGATTCCCGCCGGCCAGGCCAGTCTATTCGTTATTAAGCGGTTAGGTATGCGCGAGAATGGAGGAAACGGGAGGGAAGTATCGGGGAAAACGGGACAGAGCGAAGGGTGGATAGAGGGTTAGAGAGGCAGAAAACGAGCAACAGATGGGACGAAGCGCGGTGCGGCGAATAGAAAGAGCCGAAAGGTGGACGTTCCCGGTATCCCCCTGTTGCCGCAGGGGACGCGTGGTCCTCGCTGCGAAACGTCATTTAACGATTAGCCGTGCGAACTGACGCCGAAATTCAAATTTAAATGGCACTCGCGGGAGACTCGATGGAGCTGGATCGTTCGAGGCTCGAATTTATGCTGGAATTGCGGAGCAATTCTCTTGGCAACCACGACAGAGACGATGCGAAGTAAATTGAACAAGGTAAAGGAAAGAAATATTAACTCGGCTAGATTTCTGTTGTGATTTATAAACGAAAAGGAAAAGCAATAATATCAATGCCGGATCGATTGAAAGTATCTAATTGAAATGGAAGCTTTCACGAACTCTTTCATCTCCGAGATGATATTCATTTGCCCGCTGCCCATCGATCTGGTTGAGGAATAGACGCAGAGGTGTTGCGAAACGGGATGAAAGAACAGAAGAAAAGCTTCCTTTCGAAGGAAAGCAACGCTATTGAGAAAGAAGCGACGATTAAACGTTTTCAATTCTTCGTCTTTGCTCGACCGGCTCTCTCGTCTTCGCCGAGCCGGCAACATTTTTTATCGTTCCGGTTGAAAGTGAGGGATTTAACAAAAAGCAAAGATCTCTAGGGAAGACGGGCGTACACATTCAATATCTACTTGTCGACTTTGCGGGCAACTACTTGGGAACGTGTACACGTATCAGGAGCTTTAGAGACGATGAAACTTTTAGAGGAAGTTTAGCATGAATTTTTTAGATGTGCATAGTACTCGCGTGCTCTACAGATCGTATTGGCGAGAAGAAAAGCGCTGAGGCAGAAGTGAAAAGAATGAAAAGAAGAAGAAGAAGAAAAAAAAAAAAGGAACAACACGAAATCTGTCGAGCGGCGTGTCAGAGGCCTGCTACGAGGGATGAAACACGCCGAGCGACCGGCAAAGAGAGCAGGCGAGGTTGATTAATGAACGCGTCGCCGAAAGAGCAAAATAACAAATAGCACGTTGCCACGTTGCCCTCGGGCTAACGCAAATGGCGGACGTTCGAGGCTGGGCTGAAACAGTGGGGGTTGCGGCAACCGGTCATGCCTCTTGCTTGATTCATAGTTCCCGCGGTGCACCGACGGCTTGTGACGAGCTGCAACCCCCGTGTTAGGCCTCCGCCATGCGCCCTCGATAATTGATTGTCTCGCGCCCTCTGGCTTTGTTCTGTTTTTTTTCCCCCCTTTTTTTTTTTACCTCTTTCCCTTTGTTTTATTTTGTCTAGCTACTGCCACAGGCTGACGATTATTGCATTCCTAGTTCGCTAGTAAACCGTGTCCCTTTGGGAGAATGCATTGTGATTCCTGACGTTTGTTAGTGAAGTTGAACAATTGGTGCACGAATTTCTGTACCTGAATGTTTATTAGCGAAAATTTTTGATAGATCGTATCGCGTGTCCGAACGGAATCGAAGCAAATCGAACAAGTATTTCCGGCCACGGGGCACTCGAAAGGGCGCGTAGTCGCGCGAGCTCGTTAGCGGGAGAATTAAACGACGCCGGGAGGGAGGAAAGTTGCCTGATTTGTTCCCCGTAATTCACGAACTTGCCTACTAACCGTAAAATCTGGCGAACTTTTCTCGAACGGGCCGAACTTCTTCTCAGTTCGTTACTCTCGTATAGCTCGAAGCGGGCCAAAGTGCCGTAAATGGGAAAG